GTGCTTGGGGCGGGGCCTGGGCCTGCAATAGTGGCTGCAGGGCCCCAGCAGGAAACAGGACAGGGCTGTGGGCAACTCATCCAGGGGAGGCGGGAGGGCCAGCTCCCTGCTGCCATGTGCACTCCTAGGGGGCAGAGGGGACATGCCCCCCCCCAGATCTGTACGCAGGTCAGATACATGCTGCAGGCTGGGGGTCCTGCCCTGCTTTCCTCCCCCAGCGGCCTCTGCAGTCCAGTGGGCACAACCTGTCACAGCAGGGAGCAGCAGAGCCATGCGGGGATCTCCTCGCCACTGAGAGTTACGCACTGCTTTGGCAATGCTCCCCCTGTGTGTACGACTGCTTTGATGGGCACAACCCCATGCCACTCCTCTCACGGCAGCCCCACGTGCAGGAGCTGTGTTGCCAAGGCAGTGCAGAACTTGCAGCAGTGAGCAGCTTTTCCGTGTGACTGCTGCTCCCTGCCATGCTGGGTCATGCCCACCAGGCTGCGGAGGCCCCAGGAGAGGGCAACAGAGTGGAGTTTGCAGTGGCAAGCAGCTTCTCCATGTGGGTCTACTGTTCCCTGCCACCCTGCTTCCCTCCCCTCTGTGGCCTCCGCAGCCCAGCGGGTGCAACCTGGTGCAGCAGAGAGCAGCAAACTACTCACTGCATGGACAAACTACTCACTGCTGTGAGCTTTGCGCTGCTCTGGCGACATGCCACCTGCGCACAGGACTGCAATGAGAACAGCAGCGCAGCGCTGTGCCCCTCAAAGCAGCAGGATGTGCAGGGAGTGCGTGTCACCAGGGCAGCATGGAGCTCGCGGTGGCGAGGAGATCCCCATGCAGCTCCGGTGCTCCTTGCTGTGCTGGGTCATGTCCACTGGCCTGAAGAGGCCCTGGGGGAGGGGAGCAGGGCAGGAGCCCAAGCCTGCAACATGCGCCTGTCCTGCATACAGACTTGGGGGGGCATGGGTCCCCCCGTACCCCCCATGAGTATGCGTGGGGTAGGGAGCTGCCCTGCCCAAGCCTGCAGCAGGGGAAAGCAGGGGGAAGGGGGCTGTGGACCCGGGTCTGTAGCCTGGGCAGCTAGGGGCCCTGTCTGGCAGGGCTATGGGCGAGGGGCACCAGCAAAGCTGTGGAGGGCTTTTAATTTTAATCACGGATTTTTTTTGGGGGGGG